AAAGACTGACCCAACACCCTTATACTGCTTTCACAGCTGTGGTTGTTATCACTCTGATGAAGACCATAACACAAAGCAACTTGGGGAGAAAAGGGTTTATTTTAGTTTACAACTTTCAGGTAACAGTCCATCACTTAGGGAAGCCAGGGTAGGAATTCAAGGCAGGAAGGAATCTGGGGGCAGGAAATAAAACAGAACCCATGGGCAAATGCTACTTATCAACTTGCTCCCCATGGCTTGCTCAGCCTACTTTCTTATAGTACCTAGGCCCACTTGCCCAGGGGTGGTACCACCCACAGTGAACTGGGCCCTTCTACAACAATCATTAATCAAGAAAATGGCTGCCAGACTTGCCTATGGGATGGATACATTTTCTCAATCGACAGTCCTTTTCCCAAATGACCCTAGTTTGTGTCATGTTGACAAGAAAATCATATATATATATATATATATATATTCCATAGAAAAGGTTATGGAATAACAAATTCCATAATAAATATAGAAAAAATGGCTGTACAGGTTAATGAAGGGAGACACTGTTTTAGCTTTATGAACTGGGACATTCAGAATCTGTGATGTGAGATGAGTAGAACTTGAAAAAGTAGTGATTAGTGGTTTGGTTTGAATGAAGAATGGAATTCAGGACAAGGAACAGTAGGAAATAAAAAGTTGGGTAATAAGAGTCTGGGATACAGGTTGGCACAATGAACTAAAAACAATAAAATTAAATTTAACTTGGATGAACTTCCAGTTTTGGGATGGCAGGGTACAGATATTGTTTCTCCCTTTCTTCTTGAAAACCACCCCCAAACAATTAGAAAACAACCTCTAACTTTAATGACTAAGAGGCATGTAAGAACCACAATGCTTGGAAATTAAAAGCAGAGAGGATGATTGATGAGCTAGTATGACAGATGAAGGCCAAGTCCATGTGTTCCAAGAGGGGGACACCAGAAAGGAGCAGCACTTCCAGAAGCCTGGAATCCTTAGACAGAAATACCTGTACCAAAGGCTCGGGGAAGGCAAGAGCTCGACACAGGGAAACCTGCTCTCATCAGAAAAAGTCTGAGACAGATCAAACTGGACCACTGCTGTATTCAGGCACAGAAGCATAAAAGATGGTCTAGCGTTAAGTCAAGCACTTCTAGAGAGTTATGTCTTTTCTTTCTTCCTTAACAAAACATTAACTTTAAAAAAAATATTTTAAATAAAAATTTATAATGGCACTAACAAAAAAGATTTTAAAGTACTTTTATTAGAGTTCATTTTTAAAACATACATATGGTCTGTTTCTGAATTCCAAATCCAGGGATTCCATTCTGTGAACAGAGCCATGAACCTTTATTTTATAGATTTTTCATTCTGAAAACGAGCTCAGAGAAGACATTTATACAGGGTGACCAAGGAAGCCCTCACTTAGAAGATACTGTTTTAAATGGTGATTTGAAGGAAATAGTGAGCAGGCTATGCAGCTACCGGGGAAAAGCATTCAGGCAGAGAATGGCTGATGTGAAAGGCTCCAATCAGGAGACCGTGCACACACTTAGTCAAGGAACATCCTAGGGCCAGATGAGCTACAGCAGAGAGAATGAGGCTGAGCTCAGAAAGGTAACAGGCAGTAACTTAGAGAGGACTACCTCATAGGTCTCTTAAGAACTTAGGCTCTGGTACCTGGTGAGACGGTATGTTGTATGACTAGAAAAAATGATAAAGATCATCACACACACACACACACACACACACACACACACACACAGAGAGAGAGAGAGAGAGAG